AAAGCAGCCTGGGCTATCCAGCCATTGCCATCTCCAGTTTAGACAAAGTCCTTCTACACAATGTCCATTGTTTCCCAGGAACTGACAGCATCACAATGGTTTCTTTTGGATTGGCGCAAAAGGAGAACAGGGACAAATTATTGGCAGCCGTACAGCGGGAGGTAGGAAAGGTAAAATGGCAAATCTCTCTGAACAGCTGTTTGCTCATTAAGAAAAACATCACGGACAAAGCGCTAATCACAAAAGACGACAAGGGCTTAATGTCGTGCGAAGCTTGGTCTCCTCGCAGAGGCAAAATAAGCAAACAAACAAACAAACAAGGCCCCAAAGAAGTGATATTTTCAAATCCCAGAGAAACTGCTGAGCATACATAATGATGTATTATTTATATTGCAAAATCAATGTATGAGATGCTCTGCAAATTAGCACAAATAAAAGGGAGGGGAAATGCCTGTGCCCTAAGAAAGTTGCAAAACTGAAGTTCATCTGTGCAATGGAAAGGCCGGAATATATATGCTTTACGGAATCTCAAAACATTAAGTCAGACAGTTACATTATTGCATTCGTCTACTGAACCTGGACTGAAGCACTGAGCTAACAATGGAAATCAGCAAACATACTGGATCAGGCCAGGGGCCCATCTAGTCCAGCATCTTTTTCTCACAGCGGCCAGGGAAAACTTGTACACGGGTGGACCTTTTTCGTTGAGAAGGATGGTGCCCAAAGGAATGTGTGGTAGGAAATGTTAAGGTCAAGGGGTGTGTGGAGAAACTTCGGGGGGGGGGGGGGAGAAAGGTTCCATCAACCTTCACATGATAATAATCCTCAAGGCCACTCCTTTAGTTCAGAGACAAAAGAGCTTGGCATTCGCTGAGCAAGAAATGAGGGATGAGGGAACTTCCCCTCTAAGGCCAACACTACATGTCTTTGCACATTTTTTTAAAGCACACATTTTTTTAAGTGTGCTTAAACCGGTCACTTTTGTTTTGAAGAAAGAAAACAGTCGTGTCCCCACCATTCTAGAGTGTGCTCTTGATCTGATCAGGGTCCCTCCCTGGTTTCCTGCCACCCCCCACAACTGCTATTTGTTCCAACAGTTTATCATTAAGAAGAAGCAGTTCAAAATATGGTGATATTCCATGGCCACTATGGCTTTTTATCAGACAGACTGCCAAGCATTTCCTCTGAAAGGGCCGGCCCTACCATTAGGCAACGTGAGGTGAGGGATTGTGTGAGGCAAGCAGCAGCAGCATGTGCTGCTTCCTCTAAGCTAGTCTGCTGCCCTCAGGTATGGTGGAAGGCCAGGATGAAGACGTGTGTCTTCTACATCTGCTGAAAACTGCACAATGAAGGTGCCACGCACATCTCCTTAGAGGTGGCCACAGAGAATGCCCTCTCCCAGGCCACCATCCCACAGAGCTTTTGCGGGTGGTGGGACTGCTAAGAGGGCTTCAATCCTATGCACAGTTGCCAGACTACAAGGCCTACTGAACACAGTGGGGCTTACTTCAAAGTAGACAGACATAAAGGTAAAGGTAAAGGGATCCCTGACCATTAGGTCCAGTCGTGACCGACTCTGGGGTTGCGGCACTCATCTCGCTTTATTGGTTGAGGGAGCCGGCATACAGCTTCCGGGTCATGTGGCCAGCATGACTAAGCCATTTCTGGCGAACCAGAGCAGTGCACGGAAACGCCGTTTACCTTCCCGCCGGAGTGGTACCTATTTATCTACTTGCACTTTGATGTGCTTTCGAACTGCTAGGTGGGCAGGAGCAGGGACCAAGCAACGGGAGCTCACCCCGTCGTGGGGATTCAAACCACTGACCTTCTGATCAGCAAGTCCTAGGCTCTGTGGTTTAACCCACAGCACCACCCGCGTCCCAGACAGACATAAGATTGCCCTTTTAGCTTCTATACCAGAAAACATATGATTCAAACCAGCTGTAGCCGCTCCAAGCAGGGATTAATTCTAAATGCAAAAATCATTAACATTTTCACCTCAATTTGGGGAGCCTGGCTTACAGAATGAGATGCACGTGGGCACTACTATCCAATTGACGTACCCACAACCTCCCCACCTCTGACGATGATTGCAACAGGCTCTCTTCCTTGCCAGTCATTAATGAGTATATATTCTATTAGGCTGGGGATCAAGTGTTAGCGGATCTTTTCTCTTGCAATATGGTGTTTCAGATTCCTATCCCATTTACCGAAATTAATCAACATCTGGGCTCCATATGGTGACCGTTCTCTCCCTCCCTTCTCTCCCACCCTTTTCCTTCTGGGCAGTTTGGCAACTTAATCAGTACGGAACATTCCAGCGGAAAGGGTACCACTGGAGGCAGCATGAAACGAGAAAGGATAGTGAATTAAATTCAAAATGTATAACCCACCCACCCCATGGGAAGTGGGGGAAAGGTGTTATGGCTATATTAAGGAATCTTGCCATAAATAGACCGATATTTAATGCCTCTTTTTCCCACAGCTGAGGATTCCATATGGACCATGTGAAGATTCATCGGCAGTTAATTGTTTGCTGTGGGATTTCAGCTTAAAGGGCTGATTTGAAAGGGCTGCGTTCCTGAGCTCAATGGAAATGCTTGCTTCCTTCTCCCCACGTTAACACCCCCCCCAATGCAAGCTGCTCTTCGCCACAATGTTGGGGGGGGAGATGAGGACAGGTATCTGTATTGTATCTGACTCTCCTCCCCTGGCTGTTATGGAGATTTCCATAATGTAATTTCCATGAGAAAGATATCATAAGACAAAAAGGTTACTCTCCCACCAAAAGCTGGATTCTGGATCTAATTCTCGCTCCCACTCCGCTGGCTGATTTTAGCCAAAGAACGAAACTTTGATCAATCCCAGAATGAACCACTGCCCTCTCTCTCTCTCTCATTGATTATTTTTTTTTGCTGTGGTTTTATCCATGTATTTTCTCATTGAAATTATATAATGGAAGTTGTCATATTAGCGGGGTGGGGGCAGACACAATATGGATACCTGACTCTTTCCACCCTTCATGGTGAATGGCAGCTTGCATGGATTGCATCAGGCTTCAGGTGAGACAGCTGCACATTCGAGGGGTCCCATGCAGAGGTGTAGTGGTCAAGGGTCACGGGGAGTAGGGGATAAAGACCCGTTTGTGTTTCTACAACAGAGTCCCAGTATCCAACATCCTAGAAATGCCCAATCAGCATGAAAGGCAAACGTTTTAGTCACGGAGAAGAAGGCTTCTTACCCCTTGTGCTGACTGGTGCCAAGAAGAGTAAACGAAGATGAGTTAGCTACGGAGGATGGGCTCCTAGGGTCTCAAAAGGGTTGCAAAAAAGAGAGAGAAAATGGGGTTGCCTCCCCCACCTTGGGCTCAGGCCCCACCCACTGCCCATGATGTGGCCCCCAACAGGTAACTCCCAAGGGAATGTGGCCCTCAACAGGGGAAAATAATGGTCACCCACTACTGATTTAGGGAGAATGTTGTATTTATTTCTTCTTTTCCTGTTTCTCTTTCAAAAATGTAAAATGCACATTTTGTGTGTGTGTGTATCCCCCGCCCCCCCCAGCATCATGAGTAAGGCAATGGTATGAAGCAGAGTGCATTAAAAGAGACACAGAGGGAATTTGGTGAAATAAAACCCATTGCTCCCCATCAAGGGAGGGTGTTGTAGGAAATGTACAATTTGCAGGGGCCACAGATGTTTATAAAATCCAGAGAGTAGGTGAAAGGTACCAATAGACACCTTTATCTCTGCAGGTCTGAGTGACAAAAATACAGGGGTTGCTTGATCCCAGAATCTGCTATGCCAGATAAGCCGATTTATTTCATAAACCGTGGATGTATTTAAATGCTGCGGGATGTCCTACTCAAACATTCCAGTGCACTGATGCAGATCCTAGATATGGATGTGTGTATTTGCTAACTTAAGGGCAACATTTACAATTAACCCACCTCAGCTCCTGACAAGCAATCCCCCGCAAGGGGAACATATGGCTTCCCATATCAAAGTGGGGAGAACAGACTGAGTTCCCTAATTGGGTTCCTGTGGAAATTAAGAGGGGTGCTTCTCAGGTACATACACAGCAGATCTAAAATTCTGAATCAGCCTTCCCTCCAGATGTTTTTGGACTGCAACGCCCATCAGCCCCAGGCAGGACAGTCATGTCTTTAGCCTTCCAAAAAGAACGATGATCTCTGGAAGGATGAGTTTCCTCTTGGAGCGCTGCTAATAGCTCTCTGCAGGTGCTGTTATTGGTGCTAATGATAAAATACTGGGCAGGGAGGATGGGTCATGATGTGAGATAAACAGCCCCAGGGATCCAGTTGCATGGATGAGAACTTGCAGGTCTGCTGAGGGAGGAACTACGTGAGATCTCGGCAAACCTGAACATGCTGAGATAATGCAAATGTGGGAACATTTGGCGGGGTGGGGGGTGGGAAGAGAGAATGGGCCCATTTGTAGGAGAAAGTAGCCAGGCAAGAGAAGCGATAATTTATCCTTTGTATACTTGCTGATTTCTCCTTGCACATGCCCACCTCCCCAGCCTTTTCCCTCAAAGTTTAGTGGGCAGAAAACAAGTTAAGCGCAGTCAGAGGGGCATTTGCAGGGGAGACTCCATGGGTGGGAGCAGGAAGGGGAAAGGATAAGCACCCCATCCTGGCTGGCAATACTCCCCTGCAAATGTCCACTTCCTGGCAAACATTTGCACAGTGCAAAGAACTGTGCTGTTGCCTAACTGTCTCATACTGTGTGTCCATAAGCTGACATGGGGCAGCAGACTAGCTGTTGTTGCCTGCCACTTGGAATCTCTCATCTGAAGCAGCTGCCTCACCCTGCCTGTTGATAGGGTTGGGCACTCAAGAGGCCACTCAAGGAAATGTTTGCTAGTCTGGCAGATAAAAACCACAGAGCCCATGGAGATCAGCGTGAGCACAGACACTTGAGCAATGCAAAACAGGGTTTTTTTCCAGGAGGGTTATTTTTTCTCTCAGGGCAATAGCAGGGAATGGCCATAGTTCAGCAGTTAGAGCATCTGCCCTGCATGCAGAAGGTTCCAGGTTCAATCCCAGGCATCTCCAGCTAGGGTTGGGAGACACTCCTTGTCTGTAACCCAAGAGAGCTGCTGCCACTCAGTGTGGAACTAGATGGATTCAATGATCTGGCTCAGTATAAGGCAGCTTCCTATTTCCAGTGGAATGGGTTTAGCTGGAAATATCCCCTCTGATTAAAACTCTCTTTTAGTGTGCCCTGGCAGGAGGACCTGGGTGGACCCAACCATTTCAGCCATGAAAACATTCATAAAGGAAAGGGTGAGGAGGAGCGAGAGTGCAGTCAAGCGTTTGACTGAACTGCATTGTTATTCAGACTCCTTGCCATGTAAGATCAGTTTGTTATTTAAGGTCAAAGCGGTAAAACAAACTCATTGAGTTGTTCAAACAGAAAACCGGCGACTTTGTTTATGCCATGAATATTTAGTAGGAAAAGGAAGGACTGCAACTATCCAGGTACCAAGTAACAGGGCAAAAGGGGCCCTGTTTTGCATGCAGGTGTAGGTGCTTTGTGGCTGCCCTAAATTACTGAATTGCTGAATGCCCTGTTGTAAATTATTCCCAGGGCGTAGTGAACTTCAAGGGCTGGATAAGAATCACCATCCACTTTCCACTGCTATGAACATAAGAAGAGTTCTGCTTGATCAAGTCGAAGGTCCATCTAGCCTATCGTCCTGCTCTCACAGTGGCCAACCTCTCACAGATGCTCCAAGTGGAAGCCCAGCAATGGAGGTAAAACCTAACCATTGTGGCTGGTAGCCATCATCTTGTAAAGTAATCCAACTTGATGGTCAACACTCTCCCTGGTAAGGATGAGTTCTAACTATGTGCTGTATGTAGAAAGTACTTTCTATTGCCTGTCTCGAATCTTCCAACATTCAGCCTCATTGGATGCCCCCCAATTCTAGCATTATGAGAGAGGAAAGAAAACATTTCTGCAACTTACTATTAATACAAGTTTCTGGAGTCCTTCCAGAGACCATGGAGATAACCTAAGAGAAGGAGCTCCATAGATGCCCAAGCACAGCTCAGCAAAGTTTAAAGATCTGCTCTGTAAAAGACCGTCTGTATTTGGGTACCTGAAGACCTGACAGATAGTTAGCTGGAGAAAAACCTCTCCCATAGCCCCTTATACCTTAGGTGAAGGTTCAAGCTAAGTGATGGGACACCTGCTTTGCATCCAGAAGGTCCCAGTTTCAATCCCTGGAAGTATCTCCAGCTAGGACTGGGAAGTAGAGGTGGAAGTTGGGAGAGCTGAATTTAAGACTGGAAGATTGAGGAAGCAAGAATGGCAGATTTGTCTGTGCCTACAGCAGGGACGCGGGTGGCGCTGTGGGTTAAACCACAGAGCCTTGGACTTGCCAATCCCCGCAACGGGGTGAGCTCCCGTTGTTTGGTCCCTGTTCCTGCCAACCTAGCAGTTCAAAAGCACATTCAAGTGCAAGTAGATAAATAGGTACTGCTCCGGCAGGAAGGTAAACGGCGTTTCCATGCGCTGCTCTGGTTCGCCAGAAGCGGCTTAGTCATGCTGTCCACATGACCTGGAAGCTGTATGCCGGCTCCCTTGGCCAATAAAGCGAGATGAGTGCCGCAACCCCAGAGTCGGCCACGACTGGACCTAATGGTCAGGGGTCCCTTTACCTTTACAGCAGAACAGCATCCATGCAAGCCCTGTTCACATGTTATTCTTTACTCTCTCTCTCTCTCCCCTGTAGTGGTCAGAAGGCTGCTTGGAGGCTATTTGTGAGGCATGGAATTAAGTTCTAAGATTTGCATACATTTCTTTCCAAGGGCCCCTGAGGAATGCAGTTAAATAGAAAGTGAAATAAAAGGCTTTAATTCTATTGTAGAGGTTTTCAATCATTTCTCAGGTCGTTATCCCCCTCCCATTCCCAATTTGGAATCTGAACCACAAACTAAACCAGCTCCCTGCTCTTGATATGCAAAGAGCCAGACGGGTCTCTAAGCAGGTGCCTTTGACAAAGCAATATAAAAATTCCTAAGTGTTAAAAGTGGATGAAAAGGAAGGAAGGAGATTGGCGAAGGCTAGATTGCCCTGTGAAATGGAGATGAAATAAACTCAGTCTGAAGTCTAAAGTTAAGGTACCGGGCCCCTGCGGTACCGAAAGGCAGCGGCAACGGAAATGCAATGTGACATGCCCACATTGCCAATTAAGGGAGCCAAATGGAAGAGACATGTCAACAAGTTGCAAAGAGGCCCTGGCACAAAGCCGAAACCCAGGGACGTCACTGCAAAATCCCACCAGACTGCCACAAATATGAACACAGGGCAGATGCAGGGGAAGGACAAGGAGGAGGAGAAGCAAAGGGCTGAAGGCGTCCTCTCCCTCCGGTGACTTTTAAATATTCTGTGTAACTGAATGAGATCTGGGAGGTCAAGAAGCAGCAGGAGGATACAGTCAGGGTCTGGGTCTGAAAATACAGATAGTTTGACATGAGTAGGGATGGGGGAGAAATTCAGTTCTGTTCACATTCAAAGATGACCTTATCTATCTCTCACTTTCTGAAACAATGTGAGAACCCAAATACTGCTGCCATCCTCTGAAATGCACCCTTCCTCAAGGAAAAACTCTAACCAATGTTTACAAAAAATGCATTATATTAGGGGAAATGTGTACAGTACATTAATCAAGATGGCATGTGTTTATTAGGAGAAATGGTCACTGAAATGCAGACAAGTTTTCATGGGGGTTAAAAAAGAAATTCACAAATTGCTGCAGAAATGTGGAGAGCTGGATTTAAGACTTGAAGAATGAGGAATTTGGAGGACCCAAACCGACAGTTCCATCCTTTCCCTAGGTACCAGGGGAAGTATGCAGACATTGTTAAAAGTGAGATAGGAGCTTTTTTAAAAAAACCAACAACTAACTAACAAAACTGTGACAAAGTACTTTTGGGTTGCTTGGAAGCAACCCTCTGGGCATGTGTCAAATGTGTTCTCAAGCACAGCCATCAGCACTGAGACTCAGATGCTTTCCCCTCTGCACCAGATTTATTCAGGCTAAGGAAGGAACCTCAAATTAAAGAACATAAGAGGAGCCAATGACCCATCTAATCCATCATCATCATCATCCTGTTCTCACAGTGGCCACCCAGACACCTGTCAGAAAGCTGTGGGAGCAAGTTCCATAGTATGCGCAGGGTGAAGCATTATGATGGTGATGATTACTATGGCTACAATTTATTATCCAGCCTTCACCCTAAAGTCCCAGGGCAGTTCCTGAATCATTGCGAAATGAAACTGGAGCAACAAACCCTGAACAACTCGGAATGTCACATACAGAAAGAAACAGGACACAAGTAATAACTGCAAAGATCTCTTTCCATTCTAAGCTCAAGCTCAGATGAACTGAGAGCATCTTGATTAGCAGACATAAGAAAATGTTATCTTCCTAGGAATATACTCGCCCTCTCCCTTCATATAGAATTCTAACACCCATTGGTCTACCAGATAAATGATTTGAATGTGGTGTCAGAGCCTCTGTATGACCGAGCTGTAATGGCTACTCCTCCGGCCGTATCTTCAAACCCTTCCTAATTGCAGATTATTTCCAGTGAATATTTTCCCCCTCTCCAGACCACCAGTCCTGACACCCCATCACTTCTATTTTCTAAGCAGGGCCAAGTGCACACTTGACTTTGTCATCTAATGGGCACTAGGCAAACAATGTTTCATCCTCCCACACCCTTGAAGCATTTTAGCTCTCATCCTGCTCTTTTAAACTTTTGTGCTTTTTTCTTGTGTGTGTGTGTTTTAATGCATATTGTGTATTTATTGTAAACTTCTTTGGGATCTTTTTCAATGATCTATGGGAAATCCAGTTTGAATTCTCCCTGATGGGTGTGAAAACAGATTCTACAAAAGTAGCTCTCTGCTACTGGTATCTTCTAACTCTTTTTTTAAAAAAAAACCCAAAAACCCTGTATGAATGTTTGGCTTTCTGGAATGTTGTGGAGGAAAAGACCTTTCTTTAGGAGAAAACAGGTGCCTTTTATCTTCTGTGTTGCCAGCAGTAAGAGATCCACAGCTGGTTAAATAGCACAGGATAGAAGATATTCCTAGTACAATGGGGGGGAATCACACTGTATGTCCTCTTGCGCCCATAGATAATGTGCAAAATGAAAATCACACACGCACACACACAAAGTCCTCTTGCGCCCATAGATAACTTGCAAAATGAAAAGCTGGCTTTTTTTTTTGCCAGCGATGCTCCACTTAATTGGACAACTGCTGTGCCGTAATACCTACCCCAATCTCACATAGCGCAAAATTTATGCTGGTGATCGCTAACAAAAACAGCCCAATAAAATAGCTGGATTTATTTTACAAATGAAAAGGGCTGTTAACAAAGCGGAGCATCTGATATGCTCACTAAATCAAGGATAAAAGGACAGGAGCTCCATTGAACGTCACCCCCTCCCGAGTTTTCTTCTTCTTCCAGAAACTTCAGACGAGAATAGTTCCCCCCCCTGCACTAAAAGTACATCTGGAATCATATCAAAGGGAAACTGATCATTTAAATGAGTTAAATTGCCATCACAGCCCCTCAATGGATCCAACAGTCTCAGCTCCAGGTTCATTTCTGACATTAAAAGGAGAAGCCTTTTTTGCAAATTTTATAAACTCCCTTTCCTCTCATTCTCTAATCAATAGCTTAAGGCCAAGGGAAGTGTTGTTCATTATGTGAAGAACACGGATACATTGTGCAATTGTAATATGGATGATAAAAATATGCTGAATATGGTCCCCTGGAAGGTTGAGATGTGAGAGGCAGTGTGGTGTAGTGATCAAAGCAAGTGTGGGTTATAGTTTTGGAAGGTTATCATTTTGGTTATAGTTTTGTAGCTCAGTAGTAAAGCAGCTGCTGTGCATGAAGAAGGTCCCAGTATCAATACTGGGAATCCTCAGCCTTGGCTGGGAGATCCTGGAGATCCATTGCCAGTCAATGTAGACAATAGTGAGCTAGACAGACCAATGGCCTGATTCAGTAAAAGGCAACTTCATAACC